TCGCTGGCCGTAAGGTCGCTGGCCACAAGGTGCTGGCCACAAGGTCGCTGGCCGTAAGGTCGCTGGCCACAAGGTGCTGGCCACAAGGTCGCTGGCCGTAAGGTCGCTGGCCACAAGGTGCTGGCCACAAGGGCGCTGGCCACAAGGTCGCTGGCCGCAAGGTCGCTGGCCACAAGGTCACTGGCCACAAGGGCGCGGGCCGCAAGGTCGCTGGCCACAAGGTGCTGGCCACAAGGTCGCTGGCCGTAAGGTCGCTGGCCACAAGGTGCTGGCCACAAGGTCGCTGGCCGTAAGGTCGCTGGCCACAAGGTGCTGGCCACAAGGGCGCTGGCCACAAGGTCGCTGGCCGCAAGGTCGCTGGCCGCAAGGTCGCTGGCCACAAGGGCGCTGGCCACAAGGGCGCTGGCCACAAGGTCGCTGGCCACAAGGGCGCGGCGGGTCGCCAGTAGACAGCAAAACCGTTTTGCGGAAAGTCTGAGTCAAAGCACTGGTATAATGGCGAAAAAGACTCCTTTATGCAGTTTTCAGACGTGAGACTTTACTTGTTCAGTCCTTGCTCAGGGATGAAGTATTTGTGTTCGTTTATATATTCACTTCTTGAAAAAAAATAATAATGTTTTGCGGCGTTGAAATGCGATGAAGGTGATGCATCAAATGAACAAATCCACAAGGGCCGTGACGAGGATTCGAACCTACGTCCGAGATCATCCCAATCGCTGGGATGATCTCGATTATCAGTCGATTAAGGCAGCGTCTGGGCTGATCTCGGACGTAGGTTCGAATCCTCGTCACGGCCCTTGTGTATTTGTTCATCATTGTATTATTATCTTCCTTACGCTGTACACCCAAGATTCACATCCCACTTTCTGAGATTTTAAGACTTCGACAGTAGGAACTTCTCTGTAACGGTAAGAGGTCGTAGTACTGTTACGAGATCGTGGTAGTGTTACGAGGTCGTAGTAGTGTTACGACGTCGTATTAGTGGTACACTTAAACCTGAACACCCCGTAATGAGAGGTACATTGCCCTGCCTTATTCACAGTATTAACTAGTGTTCAGTTTACTTCTCTATTTTAGAAGTGCTAACGATCATAAAATGAACCACATCACTGACAATCAGAATATTCTCAACTATGCATTAGACACATGGCAGAAACCCATAAGCTTTCTCAGATTAGAAAATAAAGATTAGAAACAATAAAGACAGAAACGGTTGGGCACATTTCCTATCACCTAACAGCCCTCTCCTCATAAACAAAAGTCCAATGCTCGTTAACTACGGGCTCGCCATAGCCCGTGCTACCATGGACATGTTCTGAGTAGCTAAATTTAAAACAACAACAACAACTTGTTAATCCAGTCACCAAACATCCGCTTCCACTGAAATTTTGTCATGGTTTCACGCACTCTGGCTGTGGTATAGCCCGCACTCTGGCTGTGGTATAGCCCGCACTCTGGCTGTGGTATAGCCCGCACTCTGGCTGTGGTATAGCCCGCACTCTGGCTGTGGTATAGCCCACACTCTGGCTGTGGTATAGCCCGCACTCTGGCTGTGGTATAGCCCACACTCTGGCTGTGGTATAGCACGCACTCTGGCTGTGGTATAGCCCGCACTCTGGCTGTGGTATAGCTCGCACTCTGGCTGTGGTATAGCTCGCACTCTGGCTGTGGTATAGCCCACACTCTGGCTGTGGTATAGCCCGCACTCTGGCTGTGGTATAGCCTGCACTCTGGCTGTGGTATAGCCCGCACTCTGGCTATGATATAACAGTCTACCCACAACGCCTCTCTTAAAATGCACAAAGAAATCACATTAACTGATGTATCAGTGAGAAAATCAGTAGGAGCCCTGAGAAGGGTTCGAACCTGTAAATCCAAGCACGCACCCTAAACCACTATGCCACAATATGCTAAAAAGTAATTGGATCCTGGGATTTATCTGAATTCTCTAAGGGGGTCCTAACTTGGCTTCAATGGTGTGGAATCCCAGGTTGCATTACCTTTAGCATATTGTGGCTTGGGGGTTCAGGGCGCGACGTGCTTGGGTGTACAGGTTCGAATCCTCCACATGGCTCCTACTGATTTTCTCATTGAGTCATCAGGTTAATGTGATTTCTTTTCACGTTAATGTGGTCAGTTGCTCGATCTGGTGGGGGGATCTGGACATAAGCTTAACATGTATATATATATAAGCTTCCTGTCCCCAACAATATTATTTAATTAAACAATAATGTTAAATAATAAATTACAATAATTGTAATTTAATAATTAAATAATGTTTTGGGCAGATGTTACTCTGCCTGAAACGCTATGCGTGCTAGTGGCTTTACAAGAATGTCAAACTTCAAGTCTCTGTACTCTCATAAACCCAATGTACCGTCTTGTAAATAAATGAATAAATAAATAAAAAGTTAATTAATTAATCACTGACGAGAGGTTCTTTTTGTCAGAGTCATCCCTGATTTACTTGGTTTTCTGTTGGTAATTTTTGGCTTTCTGTGGAATAGTTGAAGCGGTAACTCTTACGTTGAAGCTCAGAGAAATTTTTGCCTAAACTTGCCTGAATTTGCCTAGGTCCGAAAATATGCCAATTACTGAAAATGGCGATGGGTCATATTTTGCCCAAACCCCCCTGCAGTTTTCTAAATATCTAAAATATCAGAAATTTGACTCCTGGGCGTCATTTTTGAGCCGAATTCTGTCTCACTGCACCTATTTGGAGTTGCAAGTTACAACTTGTTATACCGAAAATATGGCAAACTAGTGAAAATGGCGGTGATCCTACCTTAATTGCTAGTTGTGATCCTACTTTAACTGCTAGTAGTGATCCCCTGGATAACTCTAACAACTGAGCGAAAATACAAATAAACACAAAGCCAACCACAATACCTACGAATGTATTCAAGGAATACAAGGAAGTTATCCTAACTTAACCATTGTTAGGTTAAGTTAACGTAACTTAACCAGTGTTGTACTGGAGAACTGGCTAAGATGGCTGTTGAACTGGTGGTGAAAGAATAGGTAAAGGAGGGGGGGGGTGAGAGACACACATTCTTAGCTAATACACAAAGCCCTTATTGACATGCAACTGAAAATAAAACTTCAAGATTCCTCTAACCTCAGCAAAATATCGTGTATCACAATCCTATTAAATAAATTTAAACCAGGTACAGCTCTTTACTCCAATATTATTTTTGTTATGTCAATCAAGACTAGCGTAGTATATATATCTATATAATTGCTTTAAATTCCCCATATATAACATATATACACAGTGTGACACTGATCTTACAAAACTGTATAATTAATTCCAAGCAATTCCCACGTTTGCAGACACAGTCAGTATTATCAATACAGAAGTCGTGTTTGGGGACCAGGTGAATACTTACTGGTCTATGTATACTTATTGTCGTATGTATACATCAGTTAGTGTGGTGATCTTACCAACCCTCCAATGGTTGACGGCACCTTTGCCCAATACTAAAACATTCACGAATCCACAGCTACACCACACGCCACACCCTTATCAACTACCACAGCTACACTCAGACGTCAGAAGTCACCGGATGAGTAGAAGGTGGCGTCGGGTGACAGCAGCGAGGTGCCTCAGCCGGCGTCTTCTCACCTACAGGTTATCTTGAGGTTATCTTGAGATGATTTCGGGGCTTTTTAGTGTCCCTGAGGCCCGGTCCTCGACCAGGCCTCCACCCCTAGGAAGCAGCCCATGACAGCTGACTAACACCTAGGTACCTATTTTACTGCTAGGTAACAGTAGTTCCATCAGGGACACCACCACCGCCCTGTCAGTGACAGTCGTCATTCATCACCATGATTTGGCATTACAATATGTATAGAATAATTCAGCATGTAGATTTTAGTACCACATGTATACTATGAGAAAGAATGTTTATTGCAGTATAGAACGAATACTTCAGTACAGTATGTATTCCGTAGCACAGTACGTATACTGCAGTAAGGTGTGTATACTGCAATACAGTAAATATATTGTAAATATTGCAAATACATGTTACAGTTACTTAATTGTTCCAGGAATTACATGTACTGTAAATGACAGCCACACATATTTCCCAAGAATTTAACGGATTACAAACGTCAGTTTGAAATTCCTTGATTCCGTCAAGGAATTAAGAAGCAGCCTTGCTCTAACCTGAGGGAAATTTGAGGGCAGCGGTCAAACTGCTAGCGCCAGTTTGACCGCTGAGAGAAATTTAAGTGCGGTTAATTATTTAAGTGCTTTAACTACTGCCAGTCATCACCATAGCTTGTGTTGATCTGCGTGAGGGAGGCAGTCATCACCCCAGTCACCGTCAAACACGTTAAATCAACGATATTGACGTTAATAAACACTATATGGACAGTTTATATACACTCAGTTGTATACAAGTGACTCAGTTTATATACAACAAGGAGCACGGAGCCCTGCTCATGTTTGAGGGGTGGCTGCAGGAATGAGAGCTCCTCGGCCTCCTCCCGCAGTCCGCCGCGTCCACTCAGAGTTGCCACAAAGGATAAAATATGGGTTTCTGAAACGATCGATCCCCCAAGCCACCCACCAAACCTAACCAACCCACGCATAGAAAACGTGGATGTTTGTGAGCCGCTATTTTTTTCCACAGTACCCCCTTTATGTTTTGTTATTTGGGGATTATAACGTCAAAATATGGGGTAGTTTTTGAGAGGACGGGTTGACTCCGGCCGCTCCAAGGCAAGATGTTCGCGTCAATACCCTGCCTGCCAGCAGAGTTTTGTTCCCGTTTTCTGTGATGCACCTTAATATAACCCCAACTCTCAGCCCAAGCCTAACCCCCGCTTGTAGGTTCAGGCCGTCCCCTCCTCCCCCCTAACACACACACACACACACACACACACACACACACACACACACACACACACACACACACACAAACGCTGGTAATGATGCAGTGTAGGATTGTACCTGGCAACTATGATGCCGGCCAAGTGCGTCTCATGCGGCCCACACCGCTTGCTAGGGTGCAGCAAGCACTTGTGCATTCCCGCCACCCTACCCCGATTGTGGCACCCTGCACGGCTCACACCATGAGTGTGGGACGTGCTACCCGCCACTAGTGACAACAATCACCCTCGTCGTAGTGATTGTTTCTGTGTTTACACATTTTATCTTTCCGAATATCAGCAGATAACAGGTATAGAGAGGGTAAACAACTTTAATTACTAACTTTCTGCATGGATTCAAAGTTGGACTGTTTGCCCCACATCCCTGCGCATGCACGAGGACCTGAAACACTGCGACTGTGTTGCGTTCGTGATATGAACGAACAGACTTTTACCGGCATATGACCCCCCCGAGCGGCTTGGTGCATGAGGCAGCAACAGCAGGATAGTGTTGGTGATCTGAACCACCACACACACACACACACACCCGTCCGGCGTCGTCTCCTGTCGACCACGACGGTAAGCGAGCAACCTTCTCTCATGTACTAGTTACTTATTCATTATTGTTGCTGGTAATGTCCAGGCAGATGATGAGTGATTGTTACCTTGAGGTGCTTCCGGGGCTTAGCGTCCCCGCGGCCCGGTCGTCGACCAGGCCTCCTGGTTGCCGGACTGATCAACCAGGCTGTTGGACGCGGCTGCTCGCAGCCTGACGTCCAAGAATTGTTGCAAGAATGCATTTTACGTTTGTGTCAGTTTGTGTGGATGATGGATAAATGTTACATGGCTCTGGGTACACTGTTGCCAAGCGGTGGAGATTATGTTAAATTTTTTTAGCATCACTTCTGGAATCACAGTGTCATGTGGCACTCTGACACACGATAAAGAATGCAGGGGATTGGGTAGCTTTACCTAAGCATTCTGATAACAATTAAAGCACTGATTTAGCGACAACACGGAGAACATTTAGTCCCTTCTAAATATCATGGTGATGGGGGGGGTCTTGGAGGATTATTCTCATGGGTTCTTTCTGCATTGATTGAAGCCGTGCGCTCACACTGCCCCCCCCACTGCGACAAGCAGAGTGCAGAGTGCAGAGGTGTTTGGGCAAACCTAGGCCAAGAGGGGGACCACCCCTCTTGGCCTAGGTTTGCCCAAACACCTCCAATGCTGGCCTGGAGACGAGGAAAGTCACTTAAGGATCATCTAGTACATTCCTGCCTCCACAGGACACACTGCCTTTAACCGAACCTGACACAGACCGATGGTGCAAGAGAATACCCCTGGTTCCCTGGGTTGGCGCCACGAGGTTGAGAGGGCCCCCACAACACAATGCCTAGAGAGCTTCAAGACACCTGCTATAATGACAAAGTGTGGCTACACTCTGTCCGTACAGTGGAATCTCTGTTCACCTAGCAGTAAATAGGTACCTAGCAGCTAGGCAGCTGGCTACATATTAGTATTACTACACTATATTACTACAGTACTACTATACCTAGTACTACACTAGGTATTAGTTAATACCTAGCAGCTAGGCAGCTGCTACGGGGCTGTATCCTGAAGATGTGTGTGTATGTGTGAGAGAAAATATATCTGTAGTAGATATGATAGAGAAAAATTTAGGTCGGGAGTTAGTATATTAGACAACCGACGGGTAAAAAGGCGGAGTCCAAGAGCTGATGTACAATTAGTCAATACACACATACCCTCCCTCCCCCCTCTCCCCTTCTGTGTGGCCATACTTAACATACACAGCATACCTCACACTTAGCAACATAATTCTGCCTATTGCGTAAGCTGGGTATACCCATCAGCGTGCTTCACTGTGTTCTCTTAAATCACTTACAAATCCCGGCCAAAAAGTACACAGTAGCCTCACACTAGCAACAGAAAGGGTTGACTTACGGTGCCTCACACCACTGAAACATTTCGACGTTGAAACGTCTCACACCGTTTATCACACAAGCCAGCGACGTCAAGACGACGCTTCGGAGTTTGGTAACGCAGGAGGACCTTGTTGAGCTCCGGAGATAACGAGGGGGAAGGAGGAGGAGGGGGGGGGTGTGAAGGGTGTCAGCGGGGGGCCGTGGCAATATGGTCGTGCAGTGTGCAATGGTTGTGATGTAACTTTAACCTGACCTTAATCACCTTCAGTGGTTAAGTGCTTAGTTAATGACACTGCAAAAAAGACACCTCGAAAACTGTTTATGTAGGACTGACGTAAATCTGTGTATTTATGTATGTAGGTTAGATTAGCATTTTATAAGCACTACAATCACCTTCTGTGGTTGATTGTTCAATAAATCCCTAAACTAAATGTTTAATAAATCTCTAACCCTGTCTATGGAGGACAGAAGAAAATGTATATATGCTAATTAGTATTGGAAATGTGTGGCCACGTCTGTGGTAGAAAATAATAAACTTTATTTATCTTTATTTTTTTCCTTGTTCGTACTTCTTCCGTGATTTTATAAGCTCCTAGAGAGAGAGAGAGAGAGAAAGAGAGAGAGAGAGAGAGAGAGAGAGAGAGAGAGAGAGAGAGAGAGAGAGAGAGAGAGAGAGAGAGAGAGAGAGAGAGAGAGAGAGAGAGAGAGAGAGAGAGAGAGAGACAGACAGACAGACAGACAGACAGACAGACAGACAGACAGACAGACAGACAGACAGACAGACAGACAGACAGACAGACAGACAGATAGAGAGACAGACAGACAGAGAGAGAGAGAGCTTTCACGATAGAGTAAGTGGAGTTGCAGATACGTTTGATACATAAAAGAGCAGATGGTACATAAGTGAGCAGATACACGATACATGAATGAGGAAGGCGAGGGGGGGTTGCTAATAGAGGTGGTTGAGGCGGAGGAGGTCAGTGTATGCGCGGGCAGAGACTAGGAGCCACCTGCACTACCGTCCGCTTCATCAACAGCTGTATTAAGCAATCAACGACTCCATCAACAACTTCAACCACCACCGTTTATTGAACAGGCAGCCGTGTTAGTCGGTGAACACCGTCAACTATGTAAGTGGGTTGTGAACACCATCCTCATCTGCAGGCGAGGAGTCACAATAACGTGGTTGAAGTATGTTGACCAATCCACACACTAGAAAATTAAGGGACGACGACGTTTCGGTCCGTCCTGGACCACAAACGACTTGAGAATGGGCCAGGATGGGCCGAAACGTCGTCGTCCCTTCATTTTCTAGTGTGTGGATTGGTCAACATCATCATGTTATTCTATTAGCACTATCACCCTGTGCTGTGAACATAACTACCTCCATACTGTGCTGTGTAGGAAAGAAAACAAAGATACTAAATCGGCGTCTACCCAGGGGCTGAAGGAGGTGTTTGCCAGCTCCAAACGTATGATGGCTCCGAGTTTGACTACACAAACAGATTCAGTGGGACCTCAAGGGCTCCAGGTCCCACTGACTGTACAGTGGGACCTGGTCCTAGAGGTCCCACTGGAGAGTCATGTTGTAGTCACACTCCCATAAAGAGAGGCTGAGAATTCTCAAGGCTATATATATATATATATATATATATATATATATATATATATATATATATATATATATATATATATATATATATATATATATATATATATATATATATATATATATATATATATATATATATATATATATATATATATATATATATATATATGTCGTACCTAGTAGCCAGAACTCACTTCTCAGCCTACTATTCAAGGCCTGATTTGCCTAATAAGCCAAGTTTTCCTGAATTAATATATTTACTATAATTTTTTTCTTATGGAATGGGAAAGCAACCCTTTTCTCTATGTATGAGGTCAATTTTTTTTATTGGAGTTAAAATTAACGTAGATATATGACCGAACCTAACCAACCCTACCTAACCTAACCTAACCTATATTTATAGGTAAGGTTAGGTTAGGTAGCCAAAAAAAGCTAGGTTAGGTTTGGTTAGGTAGGTTAGGTAGACGAAAAAAACATTAATTCATGAAAACTTGGCTTATTAGGCAAATCGGGCCTTGAATAGTAGGCTGAGAAGTGCGTTCTGGCTATTAGGTACGACATATATATATATATATATATATATATATATATATATATATATATATATATATATATATATATATATATATGTCGTACCTAGTAGCCAGAACGCACTTTTCAGCCTACTATGCAAGGCCCGATTTGCCTAATAAGCCAAGTTTTCCTAAATTAATATATTTTCTCTAAATTGTTTCTTATGAAATGATAAAGCTACCCATTTCATTATGTATGAGGTCATTTTTTTTATTGGAGTTAAAATTAACATTGATATATGACCGAACCTAACCAACCCTACCTAACCTAACCTAACCTATCTTCATAGGTTAGGTTCGGTTAGGCAGCCGAAAAAGTTAGGTTAGGTTAGGTTAGGTAGGTTAGGTAGTCGAAAAACAATTAATTCATGAAAACTTGGCTTATTAGGCAAATTGGGCCTTGCATAGTAGGCTGAGAAGTGCGTTCTGGCTACTAGGTACGACATATATATATATATATATATATATATATATATGTCGTACCTAGTAGCCAGAACGCACTTCTCAGCCTACTATGCAAGGCCCGATTTGCCTAATAAGCCAAGTTTTCATGAACTAATGCTCTTTCGACTACCTAACCTACCTAACCTAACCTAACCTAACATTTTCGGCTACCTAACCTAACTTAACCTATAAAGATAGGTTAGGTTAGGTTAGGTAGGTTTGGTTAGGTTTGGTCATATATCTACGTGAATTTTAACTCCAATAAAAAAAAAATTGATCTCATACATAATGAAATGGGTAGCTTTATCATTTCAAAAGAAAAAAATTAGAGCAAATATAGTAAATCAGGAAAACTTGGCTAATTAGGCAAATCAGGCCTTGCATAGTAGGCTGAGAAGTGCATTCTGGCTACTAGGTACGACATATATATATATATATATATATATATATATATATATATATATATATATATATATATATATATATATATATATATATATATATATATTGGTAGCAGTCTTTCCTGTAGACATATATTATTAAATATGACCGAAAAAGTAAGATTAATAATTTTAACACGAATTTTCTCGATCTTTCGTACATTTCTTTTCACTATTGGTGGTAATTCAAAAATCAATTCTCCAAAATTCATTTTTATTTCTAGTCTGACGCGACACTTGAGCGCGTTTCGCAAAACTTATTACATTTTCATTTATTACATTTATTACATCAAACATTTTATTACATTATCTTTTGAAAATGTAATAAGTTTTACGAAACGCGCTCAAGTGTCGTGTCAGACTAGAAATAAAAATGAATTTTGGAGAATTGATTTTTGAATTACCACCAATAGTGAAAAGAAATGTACGAAAGATCGAGAAAATTCGTGTTAGAATTATTAATCTTACTTTTTCGGTCATATTTAATAATATATATATATATATATATATATATATATATATATATATATATATATATATATATATATATATATATATATATATATATATATATATACACACACAAAGAATGGACAACACCTAGCAACACTTAATCGTCCTTTCGCAGGCAAAGTTAAAAATAACATAGTCTTATCTCTTGTCTCACGATAGCTATACAAATCGTTGCCCAGGTTTCGTTATGTTGTGAACGGTTACATGTCTGTGCAGCTGGCTACCTGGCCTCAGGCTTGGCTCATTCAGGCGGCAGCTAGACCCAAAGAGGCATTCATCAATTTTATCGTACTGTGGATTCAAATTTGAGTATGTTGTGGTATAACTTGAGCTAGAGGATGTGTGGTGCCTCACAGATATTATATCTCGTCGTCCTGTGTGTGTGTGTGCTTTTGATGCCTTCTGCAGGGAGAAAGATACCAGCTGCTGTATTGGCATGAACTGTGAATTCTGTATATTGTATACTCTAATCTAATCATTTAGATCACACGCCAATGTCATAAAGGCGGGTGAAGTGAGGCTTGAAGGTCACTGTTACCCAGCAGTGACCTTCAAGTGGATAATTTACATAAAAATGATAGTTTACTTGATATGAGAAAGTGATAAGGAAATAAGTAATCCCCATTTCATGTTCTTAGATCTAATTGAACTACCTGATCAGAAAGCAGCAACTATTGCTAGGCATCTATTGACTGTCTCAATTATCATGGATTTGATGTCTTATATTTGAAAGAGAACCTCGTAACATTTGCTAGTGATGGGGCAAGTGGCATTCTTGGTGTCAAATCTGGCGTTGCAACAATTCTCAAGGAACATTACCCTCATATAATAATCTGGCACTGTCTTAATCACATATTTGAACTTGCAGTAGGTGATTCAGTGAGAGAAGTTCATGGAATTAATCATTTTCAAGCATTTGTGAACAAATTGTACTCGGTTTATAGTTGACCTCTAAATCAAAAGGCACTATCTGAACGTGCCTCTCAACTTGAACAAAATATTTGCAAAATAGGCCGTGTTCTGAGCACCAGGTGGGCGGCCAGCTAGTTTCGAACAGTTACAAACACGACATACTTAATCGTGTGATATATATAGAAACAGGATAGAAAATTATAGGCTTTTGTCAGGCCCACCAGAGCTCCGGCACCTATAACACTGGCACTGCACCCCCTGCTATTACCTAACATCCTGAGACTTACTAAACATCATATAATTATTGTGTAAATGATATGACATATAATCTGTATCCAAGCAACTGTTAATCATTGTCCAACAGCATTCTAGGGCTCCTGAATGTGTTCAAGGAGGATAGGCTACCAAATGAATTCCTCTCATTAAATACTAAACAAATTATATGACATTCACAGCGCGACTTGATGCAGGGTGTAGCGGCCTTCAGTAATCCACTGGCCGTTATAGTGAGTTCTTTAATTCGGCAGCAATGTGAACGTGAGTGATCAGCAGTGAATCAGGCTGTGAGGACAAGGGCCCGCGCGGGCTAGTCATGGCGCCAGGCGAGGCGGCCTCTGAGGCTCTGACCGGTAAGGCTCTCGTCATTCTGCTCATACTCCTATAACGGTAAATACTTAATGGATTTGTCGGTAAGGTTACAATTAATAATTGGAAACAATAACAAAATAATTTAGGTGATTTTTAAATTAATTATGAAATTGTACAAACTTTGTATACTTTTCCTATTGAATATGTTTGCTTTCTTTCATTCTATTCTTGTATTTGTAGAAAAATGCGAGAAAAAATTGACTACACAATCACAGTCGATTGTCGCACTAAGTCGCACTACACAATCGATTAAAGTTATAATAATTTATCTTGTTCTAAATTAGCCTTAAATGCAAAACAAAAATAACTTATATTTCTCTTTTGTTTCTGTAAACCACTAAATGTGTGCTATCCTGTGAGACAATGTGGACGGAATTAAATCTTGAAATGGCCTCCAGGGTATTAAAAACGATGGATAATACGTGAAAATGACTTACTTCTTCTCGATAACAAGAATGCAGTTTTCCTTCCTACAGGTGACCAGGATGTCGTGCCGGAGGAACCCGCAGGGGACAGGCGACGTCGGCTTGTCATGCAGGTGAGTTGATTGTTGCCACCAGAGGCCGCTAGTTTATTGTGCACCCGATACTCATCCTGTGAGCGGTAGCGCAAAATTGATGCCTTTTAATTTCTATTCATTACTTTTATGGTTGCTGCGAGCTTGAATTGCACTGTTGTATAATTTTAATTTATTGAAGGTTTCAATAAACCTTGTGAAATGAGTTATGGTTTGATGATATGATGATATTGATTGATAAACCTTATGATATGATTTATGATATGACATTATATGCAACATCATTGACCATTGACGTGACATGGTTGCCAATATATTGTTAAAACGAGCCTTATAAATTAGTGTTTTATCAAACATTTCCTCTCTAAATCATATGATCGTATCGTTCTTCATTTTATTAATACCAGTAATGAATTAAAGTGTATAATTTAAGTTACCAGGATTTACATAGTGTAGTTGCAAGATTAAAAATGTTTAATTTACTTAGAAAGCGTAGAATAAGAGGTAAATTATTGAAAAAACAAATAAATGAGGGAGTATAACAAAGGGTATATTAATATGGTGCTAAATATATCAACACGAAACAGTGGCTACATATTGGATAAGTTTAGATTTAGAAAAAGTCCAGGATAAATACTGGTTTGGAAATAAGATTGTTGTATGCCCGAAACGCTTTGCGTAATAGTGGCTTTAGGCATTGTATGTACTAGCCCTAACTATAAATCCATCACTCTTTGTAAAATCTCTTGTATGTATGTACCTTACCTAAATATACATTTGATTTGATTTGATTTGAACATTTGATTTATGGAACAGAGTACACGGGACTATATAAAGAGTATAGGTTATATATGTATGACTCTGATTAGGTATAAAAATGGGTTGTCTCGCATGGGGATATATGGATATCTGCAGGTTTCCTCCATATATTTTCTTATGTGTGCAGGTGGCGATGGTGTCGGGGGCGAGCGTGGCCCACCTGGGGCTGGCGGTGGTGGCCGCCTGGCCCAACCCAGCTGTGCCGGACCTCCAACGACACAACACCACCATCTACGACACCGCCATCACCCTCACCAGCTGGCAGCTGGACATGTTAGGTAACGAGAAATGGAGAATATTTGTTGACCAATCCACACACTAGAAAATGAAGGGACGACGACGTTTCGGTCCGTCCTGGACCATTCTCAAGTCGATTGTCAGAATGTTTAAAATTCATGTTTAGAAACGTTATATTTACTCATGTAAGTAACTTACGTTGATCAGGATTAAAGAGTATCCTAGGACGAGCCATGTGGACGTTTTCTTAAAGCAATAAATATATCAGCGGCATTGCAGCATCAATCTTGTACGCATCTACACGCGACACAAATGATTTCACGGAGCTATGTTTTGATGCAGGTAGTATATTGGCCGTGGGCAACCTCCCCGGGACGTGGTTCTGGGGATGGCTGGTGGCGACCATCGGGAGAAAGAAGTCCATGATGCTGTTACTGGTGCCGTACACCTTAGCCTGGCTGCTCCTGGCTCTCGCCGTCAACCCTACCATGATGCTTGCTGCCAGGTCAGTCTGAGCCAGTCAACAGTGAGTCGGTCAGTTCCCGCCTCCTGTTCCCCCACCCTTGGCGTCAAGGGACAGGCTGAAACAAATGAATTACCCATTTTTGCTATTTTTTTAACACGCTAGCAAATAATTATGTAATGTCCTATGTTCATATACTGTATAATATATATCTCCAGGGTTGTCCACGGAATTTGCGTTGGGGCGACGTTCGTATCAGCGAGCACCTATATTATCGAGCTGCCAGACACGGCCATCCGAGGAGCCCTGGCCACCATCCCCAGTATAGCCCTTAGTCTGGGCTACACCCTCACCGCCGCCCTGGGTCTGGTCCTGCGCTGGTTCGAGATAGCGTTTGTAGGTTTAGCTGTCATCGCATTGCACACGACAATAATGGTATTCCTGCCTGAGAGTCCGTCCTTTTTAGCCATCAAGGGACAGAGGATAAAGGCTAAGAAAATCTTGCTGAAACTTCGAGGTCCGAGCGCCAACGTAGACGAAGAACTGCAAAATCTCTGCGATGAAAACAAAGATACTGCGAAAGAACCTTTCATCAAAGTCCTTCAGGATTCTTACATTTTAAAGTCACTTGGAATTGTGATTACACTGTTCTTCGTCCAGAACTTCTGCGGTCTGATGGTGTTTTACGTGAACATGACGCGCATTTTCCTGGAGGCAGGGTCGACCCTGAGCGAACATGTGGCCAGCATCCTGGTGTTTCTGGTCCAAGCAGCGGGCACCGTCCTTGCTTGCATCTACCTGGACCGCTTCGGCCGCCGGGCATGTATGGTGGCCTCCTTAGCAGTCATGACGTTATGCCTGCTCGTCATGGGAACTTATCACCACTTTAAAGATGCTGTTGAGACAGGAATCGACTCAGCAACAGCGAACACAACAATGCTCGTTGCTGAAGACATCATGGAAAATTGGTAGGAAGAGCAACACTTAATTAATACAAAATACGCACCCAACAGGGCCATATATTGCACTTTTAGGTATGTTTTTTGTATGAGCAGTAGCGCCATCACTCATTAATTTTATAATATAATGTTCAATGTCTTATGTTAAAAATAGAACATAATTTCCAGTCTAGGTGTCTTTTATATAGTTGGTTTGAGCCTGCTGTTCGTTGCCAGGTCCGCCACCACGACCTCGTCCTTCAGCTGGGTGCCGCTGGCCTGCCTCATGCTGTATATGTTCGCCTCCAGCTGCGGTGTCGGCCCGGTACCCTCGCTACTCAACGCCGAGTACTTCCCTACAGCAGTTCGAGCGCAGGTACTGCCCTTAAAGTCTTTAATCTTAGAGTAAATCAAGCTTCAGAATAGATTTCAACAGCCATATATTTCTGACGCAAGGAAGTTCATCAGTACATATTGTGTCGACATTATCTGCAATTAAACCTGAAGTTGATGTTTATCTTATGAGTTAAGCAGTTTTTTAAGTTTAGTTCATTTATAATGCACCACATACCCATCTTGTAGGTGGTAGAGGGAAAGGGTTACAGAGGCACATAATGGGCTCAGGAACTGAACCCCACGATTTATGTAGAGAAGCAAGTTACAATCTTGATGAGCTAGTTACAAAATTTAATACACATCGTCACATCAACAATGGGTTATAGAGACCAACCCCAAGTACAGTTTCCAAATAAGCAACTGACATGTGTGGAGAGTGTCACTAGCAGGACAGGAGCTAGTGTCACTAGCAGGACAGGAGCTAGTGTCACTAGCTCCTGCACACTGCACACTGCAGCTAGTGTCATTGATCGTGCACACCGCCCCCCCCCCATCCAGGGAACAGCAGTGGATAAGTGGCTGCAACGGCTGATCTCTAATTTGTTTCTGGGGTGGTAAAGGGAGGGACTAAAATTGGAAAGGGGATAATCTTTATGCAGACGATGAGTCACAATAACGTGGCTGAAGTATGTTGGCCAGACCACACACTAAAAGGTGAAGGGACGACGACGTTTCGGTTCGTCCTGGACCATTCTCAAGTCGATTGTGTGAGTAATCTTTCGCGGTGCAGGAAAGTGCCGTTGTTGTCTCTTGGTCTTGTCTCTTGGTCTCTTGTATCATAAATCTGATACATTCTGAATTCAGTTCCAGTTTTAGGAAGTTAGTTCTCTTACGATGCTAGGCATGTATTTATTGTGCAAATAATTTAATATAAACATTGTTCTCAATATTTAAACATAATTTAACAATTTAAAATAGCTCGAAGTTATATATTCATTTAGATTTTTTCCAGGTACCGTATCTTAATAATATTTCACTTAATAACATTAAAAAACAAAATAGCATCCAACACACACAGTTGTCTGTGATGTTGCAGCTGTCTGGCTTATGTATGGTGGTGGGCAGCGTCATCAACTTCGCTGCCCTGCAACTCTTCACACCCATGCAGGTCGCCCTCACCTCCGCCGGCCTCTACTGGTTCTACGCAGCCGTCTCCGTCGGTGGCATTGTGTTCACCTTCGCCTGCGTCAGAGAGACCAAGGGCAGAGCTCTCGGTTGAAGCTCATCTCTTGGCTTAGTGCGAGGTCGAAGGAACGTTTCTCATGACATCTGTAACTTGTTTTTTTAATGAGTTGAGCTTATCTAATATAACTTTTTATTGTTATGCTAAATGAATCACCAGTTAATTCTCTACGCATCCTGAGAGTTTGGATTGTGCAGTTTGTGCCAAAGCATTTGCATTTTGCCTTTTTATTTTTATATAATATAGAAAATGATTATAGCTTGTTGAACATGAAGGCCAGCAATAAATGGCAAAACCTATTTGGTGAAGAATTAGTACTGTTTAATAACTTCATAAAATGGGTAAATAACCGCTATCTTTACTTTGGTCAGTTAACTAATATTTTTCTGCTGTTATATATATATATGATTGATGTCAAGAGCCAAGTCACATATATGGTTGGTGTAAAGGCCGGACATATGTGGTTGGAGCCAATATTTCATATATAGGGAAGGGAAGGCAGGAGTGGATAGGCCAAGGAAAGGCAGGAATGGCCAGGACAGGACAAGGCGTAGTCATAACAAGGCAAAGAATGTTTAAGGTTATTTCTCGTCTTCGAAAAGTCTGGATGAAGGACAGTTATCTATGCAAAACCAACAACTGTCGTCAAAATACAGTGTTTATATATATATAGTGGAACTTCGAGTGACGAGCAACTCGTTACAAGCATTTCGAGTAATGAGCAAGCCACTCACAGAAAATTTGTCTCAACTGACGAGCTTTCACTCGATTAACGAGCGTTCCCGCTGGTTCTCGGACACCTTCGACTTGTTTCACAAGAGTTTTCCACATGACGAGCTCAAGTGCCGTAATGGATTAAATTCGTTAAATTAACATGTGATGAAAAATGTAACAGTGTCAGATCACGAAGGAAGAATTGAAACAGGAATTTCCTTAAGTTAAGTACTTTCGTATTTAATAATACAGCTTCAGAAGGATACTCATCCTTCTGATGATGTATTATTAAATACGAAAGTACTTAAGGAAATTCCTGTTTCAATTCTTCCTTCGTGATCTGACTCACATTTTTCTTCACATGTTAATTTTCGTGATTTACACACACACATATATATATACTGTATATATATCGATCTATGCTGCACGTTGGGCCTTGACTTACACCAAGAACAATGAACAGGGATATAGATTCGATCCCATTGTATGACCTTAATATTTTCATTAATACTGTAAATCACGTTCTTATGACTTAACTGATTGCTGTAAAGAAAACCTGAATAGTTGACAATAACATGGAGAAAGACTGCTATGACTATTGCTGTTAACAAATAAAGTTTACCCAGGTTTTTTATTTTGTTTATCCACATGAAAAAATCCCAGTGGTAATATTTAAAGCATATTCGGAAACATTTAATCAATGCACATACGTCATCAACAATGATTCCTTGTTACATCACTATAGCTTTCCAGGCTTCTTTGTTATTAATATGCCAATTACGAATCATTTTGATCGCTATGATAATGTTCCTAAGCTAAATCTATATTTCACAAATATTTTGATAACTATCCAGGTGGTATTAAAAGAGAATGTGATTTCTTGTGGTAATGGATTTGCTGAGGACGGGCTGCTATATATATAAGAGAATGTTTGTCTGCTTAAAATAAGTGGCCAGAAACCTGGGGCTTGGACTCGCCCAACTTTGCAGGGAAAGTGGTCTGGGGGTATAAGACCGACATACCCGACTGAATATATATCTTCCATGTACACATTTGATACCTCTCTCGTCTCTTTTTCCAAGTACAGGTACACATTTTGAGAGCTTTGAGAGGGTCCCAATAGATTAGGGTCTTCATCGTGTCTTATGTGTGCCATACATGTTCTCTGTATTCCTTCTATTACAGAAATCTCTTCTGCTCTGAAAGGGTGAGTGGGTAAGATTCAGTACTCAAGATGGTACAATGCCACTGATTGAAATAGCATTAACATTGCAGAAAGATTTCTGAATTTGAATGTTCTCATAATCCATACTATCATTTTCCTGGCTGACACTATATTTGCTTTCTCTTTCCATCTGTGTGAAACCACAATGTAAATTAGGTAGAGTACTAGTATTTCTGTTTCTCTTTTAAAATGGTTAAAATAAGTAATTATCAAAAGAGGATGCAAAACCTGGAAGAATATTCAGCAATACCTGTCACAGAACACAACAATTCTTAAGATATCTTTCAGGATAGTAATATGAGACAAGTGATGTCAAAGGTATCAGATTCATCAAGAATTTTATTAAAATCTAAGAAACATACTTCCTATTACACCTTTCACTAAGATCCTGTAATAAACCATAAGGCATTATAAAAGTCAAAGACAAAAAGACATTTTATTAGTCTTGTTGGAATCTTTCAAACAAAAGCAAAGATCACAACAGTTGTAGTTTGAAAATCAATAAAAAAAAAAAAAAACAGATGTATATAGTTTCACTTAATCTTTGCACTTATAGACTTGACATTATGAAGTCCAAAACTTTAGAACTGCGTAACTTTGCATGTACCATTTTAATGAAATGTTACCAGTGCTGGGGCATGAATGTTTTGCTGTACTCCAACATGGATATGTTGGATGTTGATTTTCACACTTGTATTAATCCTGCCTGCACTTCAGGTATCGTGTTGTCACTTTATCTTGTTCACTGAAAATGAATCAGACATGTTAGAAAATGATACACACTATATCATTATTTGCTCAGTATATGAAGTGAAGATTTTTCCTGCATACATGACAATTATCACAAAAAACAAGCACAAAATTGATCTTACACAACATGAACAACAGCTCCCCAACCAGAGAGTGCATCACGATCAAAGGCATTGACAAGTGACTGGCTGATGCATTCGAACAAGTCGTCAGGCTCCATATCCTCACGCCATGTTGTCTCACACATGCCTGGAAAGTAAGAATGAACAACTTGAATTCATTCATAAAAACAATTATTCTTTGCTACCATTCCAATTTATAGAATGACCTTTGTAAAATGGCTGCTACCACTTGTCAAAATAAGTTCCTTTACAATTACAGTAAAGTAGCATGTGCTATATCCTGAGAAGTGTATCAATTTACTTTTGCATCAATGTTCATACATTCAATAATTAAAATTTGGTCTTAGTTTTCTTAGTAATTGTAGAGCATTTTTTTTCACACAGCTTTCAAATATGTAATAAAAGCTTGTCTAGAAAACTAACAAAATACAGTGAAGCTTTAAAACCTGAAACAATAATCATTACTCTCATGCATGTTTAAACCTTAGTGGCTTGTCTCGGATCTATAGCTTGTATGATTTCATGGAAATAGGACTTCACTACTGTTTCAGTCTTACACAGGTATCCCATATGTAACATTCATACATTGTGATACAAAACACAAACACTATTAAATTTAATGCACCAATAACAATATTTTGTATGAGGAAGTCATTAGTGTTGCGAATCATATTTGCAGCTATATTCTACAATGATCATCATCATTGCACGAATAATGTAAAAAAAAAGAAGAAAAATCATCAACAATTAAAGATGCAGTATTATTAAATGCTGTGAAGAATTTTATTAAAATAACGGAGAAGAAATAATTATGGTGAAGTGAATGACTGTTATTATTAATGTACGAGTATGCCAGAGTTGTGTAATACTACCATTGTTGCTTATTGCATACACAACCCATGATGCTGAAAACACTCAACGAGACGTACCGTAGAGGGACTCTGAACAAGTTCCCGACACCACAAAGTCCGCAGGCTCACATGGGCAACCAATAAGGTCAAGTGCACAAATATATGGCTCTTTGGTGTTAGGATGCAGTCCTGCAATAACAGGCTCCACAAAATATGGGCCAAACCTCCTCTCATACAGCAGATTTTGAACCATGGCCATCAAGGTCTGAGGCTTCATGCGACGTCCCTCTCTGAAAAAGAGATTAAAAATCATAATAACTGTATTATTAAAACTATACATGTATATATATGTGTATATATATATATATATATATATATATATATATATATATATATATATATATATATATATATATGTGTGTGTATATATATATATGTGTGTGTATATATATATATATGTGTGTGTATATATATATATATATATATATATATATATATATATATATATATATATATATATATATATATATATATATATATATATATATATATATATATATATATATCCCCTAGCTGATACACATATCTATGACTATTTCTGATTGCTCTGTAAATGGGAATGAATCTTTTACCAAAAATCTCTCAAGCTTTTCAACAAATATATTAAAACACACTTCCAGTGTGAAACAATAAAATCAAAACACTTTCTGAAAACCTTGATTAGTATTCATAATCGAGCAATATTAGAATATTTAGTATTATAATAAACAAATATTATTCACCAAGCCATGCATAAATATACATTTATTTATACATACAACATACATCTATTGCAAAGCTTTCTAGGGTATGGTTCAAAACCAATACTAACAAGGTTATCTCTTGGCATGAAGCCTATATTTATTTGCATTTATATCTGAAATTTGCCACAAGGAAGCTATACAGTCCAACCACAATAGGTATTTTACTGCACCTCTATACACCAAGTCTTCAAAGTTTCAAGTCGATACACACAGGTGTTCTCCAGATATTTGCCCGAACAATAATTTCAGAAAAAAAACATTCCTTAGGTGAACACCAAATTACTGTAAGAGCTTGCTAATCTAATCCGAATACTTGTAGCCTAATCTTCGGGTAATCTGAAATAATTCTTGTTATCATTTTCGACTAAAAGGTGGGAGAAAAAAGAAAACTATGAAATGTGCATGCAAAGGGTGGTAATGACAGGATAAATGGCAGGAGTAACAGGGTCAGCGATTGCGATACAAAAAACAAGCGTTGAATGTAATGAAACACCATTTTCTGGGTGAGACCCGGAGGCTCCCCGGAGCTTTACCGGCTGATATGCTAATGTCAGACTTTGGCATCAGTCATGTGTATGGAGTTCTAGGGCCTACCGGGGACCACGAGCCAGAACCTGGCCCCCTCAGAGAGGCAAGGGGAGCAATGGCCTATAGAAACCCCCGTGTGGTTGGAAGCATTCTATGTCTGCCATCGACCGGGTCAAGCATCCAGAAAGGTAAGCATTCCAAAACAAACCCCTATTCTGGTGAAAATTGCTACCTAAAGCCGAACTAGTGGATAGAACTCTTCAACAGAAAACAAGGAAACTAGCATGACGTCATACGTCACCGCGCCACTGTCTGCGCAGCTCCCCCCTCCCCGGGAGGGGGAAGGGGGAGCCCCAGACCTCCCACGCCGGCTATCCACCCATCAGTTCTGAGGCTGGATGTCAAAACACGCGAAAAACGCCGACCGGAGGGAGGGAGGGTTGCCGGGGAGCCTCCGGGTCTCACCCAGAATATGGCGTTTCATTACATTCAACGCTGGTTTTCTGGGGGGAGCCCCGTCGGCTCCCCGGAGCTAACTACCCACAGAGGAAGGTCAAAGGGACAGAACCGGGAGGCGGACACCACGCACCCCCCAAGGAGGCGAGACAGCCGACAGCAAACGCCAACCCAAGGCGCCACAGCCCCAAAAATCCCAAGAACAACAAGAGAACCACGAGCAGCAAGGCCCCTGCACGAACACCAAAAATCCATGCCCGAAAGACCGCAAGGCCACGTCGCCCAGACGGCAGCGAGAGCAGCGAAGCCACGAACGCCACAGGCATGAGGGAAGAACCCAGGCAGCTTAGCCGCAAGAACACGGCTGACCACCCGGGACACTATCACCCGCGAACCGGGAAGAACAGAACCGGATCAACGCAAAACGCGCTCCGGACCCAAACGCCGTGGCACGCAAACAACAGCGGAGGGCCGCCACTGAACACAAAAACGACACACCCCCGGCCTGACCAACGAAGCACCAACAAACCCTGGACCCCTCCAGAATGCAGCAGCCCCACCCCCGCGCCAGAAAAGACGGAGACTGCCGCCACCAACCAACCAAAACGCTAAAACCAAAGGAGCAAGAAAACTCAGCGACCCGACCCCCAGAGGCAAAGGTACAAAGGAAAGAGCCGACGAAAAAACACACCGGAACCGAAGGGGCACTACCAACCAAGGAGAAGACAGAGCACGCTGACCAGAGACCAGGATGGTGCAAGCGGCGCACGAACAGGCCGGAGGTGAAACGACGCACAAGACAGCTGGCCAACGGTGCAGAAACAACAAGACCGAAAGCAAGCTGAAGCGGCTCTGCCCGCGCCGCACGAAAAGAGGCGACAGTATGTGGCAAGACGACGGCCCCCAACCCCCACCAGAAAACCAAGCCGAGAGTAAACCAAGCCAACAAGAGTAACCACCTAAGAAGGGACAGGAAAAGGAAGGACCGCCAAAATACCCCATACTGCCGCCAAGAGAAGCACGCAGGTGGGACACCTACCACGAAGCCACCCGACCACCAACCGGAGGCGAGACCGCGAGGCAGAACATAAGCAGCCCCGAACAAGGCCCCTCCGAGCCTAGGAAAAAGGCGGAGCCGCGGGAAGATCTCGGGTGCGACCACCGAAACCCAGGTACAAGGAGATGGAACGTCTGCCGAACAGAAAAACTCCCCAAAGCATGCAAGCCCGCCAGGAGTTCAGAAACGATGGGTCCGACGCGAGACATCGCAAGACCCCCCAAAAAAAAAAAAAACGGCAGGGCAAGCTAGGAAACCAAAGAAGGCGGAAGGGTCGCCGCCAGAACAGTACCTGAACCAAGGGGTACGAACAACTGCAATAGACAGAGACAAAGAAGCACATCACAGGACACAGGCTGACCAACGCCTAAGAACACACGCAGAACATCCCTGCTGCAGAGGAGGCAGGAAGAAAGAGCAGAAGCACCAAAACCCCAGGAGAACAACCAGGGGTGGACAATCAGGCAGGGACAGAAAAACCCCATGCACGCAATCCCCAGGCACAAAAAACGGCAGCAAAGTGCCACTCCACAACCGGACACAGGAACAAGGACACGCCACCGTGAAACACGGTACCAATGCACACGTGCAGCAGCAGCAACAGGCACCACTGCAACATGCAACATGAAAATAGCAACACCCTTCTGCAAAGGCAGAGAACGGAGCAGGCAGACCCCAGACAGGGCCAACGGAGACACGACAAAACCCTGCAGGCCCAGAAACCTGCAGCAGGCGACCGACGGCGGAGAAACCCCGCTCGATACCTGCTGGATGAGGTACTGGGAGCTCTTTCACACCTGAAGCCCGGCCCAAGGCCAGGCTAGACCGGCCAGAGGGTGGCCCACCAGGCAGCTGCTAGGAGCAGTCCACCGGCCCACATACCCCAACAACCAGGACGGGCCGGAACAGCCATACGAAAACAGGCTAGTGCGCCCTGGAAGTCCACAGACGAACCAGCAAGAAAGCTTATGCTCGCAAGTAGGTCGTGTAACAACCGCAGACCTCTGATGGTAATACAGTGTTCCCCAATTGTGCCAATAGCACCACTGCACTCCACTGGTACTATCCCGCAAGTTCTACCAGATAGGCGGGACCCAAGAGTCAGAGATCAAAAACTGCAAGCATAGCCAGGAGCCTTACTAGGTGAGTACAGAACCAACCCTACAACCCCCACACCTCATAACAGAAAAAAAGGTGGGTCCCCTGAATGACTCTAGCATGGGTTGGACATGCACATGAGTGGGACAGGAAGGGTTGAAAAGGGACAGTCACTGGTGTGCGAACAGTCTCAGTCGTACAAAAATATACCTAAATAAAGATAGGTATATAAACAACACCGCATCCAGCGCCCGGCCAAAAGACGCCAGACCGCAGAAACTCACCTGGCGAATGGTGGCACGAACGTGACACGACTCAACCGTGCCCAGAAGAACCTGGGAGCACCGCCAGGTGAAGACGCCAGAGCCGGATCCTGCCGGACCCGCAGGAGAGCAGGGTAGAGGCGAAGGAGGCGGTCTACACCCATGACACATGAAAAACCGCGGTGGCCTCCCCACAACCAGAAACCAGGACACCCCCGGCTCGAAGGGACACATACCGCAGCCAGGGAGAAGAGAGAGAGACGAAGCACTTGAGCAAAAAGGGCGCAAAACACCAGCACTGAAACACCGCCCAGACAAAACAAACTCCATGGCGCATGACACGCTGGCCGAACCACACACCCTCTCAGCGGGAAGGCGCCAGCCAGGACTACTGCACTAGAAAAGTAGCCAAAAGAGGAAGCAGGAACAATAAAATCGGCCAACGAAGCAAAGACCCAGAGCACAAAAGGTACCCAACCGGGCGACAAGCAGCCCAACAGGGCTACAAGCAGCCCAACCGGGCGACAAGCAGCCCAACCGGGCGACAAGCAGCCCAGGGCGAGCAGCCCAACCGGGCGACAAGCAGGCCACTGGCCACAAGCAGCCCAACAGGGCGACAAGCAGCCCAACAGGGCGACAAGCAGCCCAACAGGGCGACAAGCGCCCACAAGCAGCCCAACTGAGCGACAATAGCCCAAAGCGACAAGTAGCCCAACAGGGCAACAAGGACGAGGAGCCAACAGACGTTCCAATAATGCGGGAAGTAGCGAAAAACCTTCCCGTACCCTCGAGAACACAGAAGCCAACACTAGTCCCGAAGGCACACGAAGGCGCAGGCACACCCGAGATCAGAAGTCATGCAGAACCCCATCGAACGGGGAAACATGATGAAAACACCGTCCCAAAAAGGGGTGGGAGGAAACATCCACCCACAGGACGAAACCAACCGACTCAAAGGCCAAGGAACCGAGCCCGGGGAGGGGGCCGACGCCCAACAGCACATACGGTGAGTGGGGAGGAAAGACCCCACTCCGCATAACCACAAGTCCCGCCTAGAGGGGGATAAAAAAAAACCCACGGGGTCCTAGGGGCCAAGGCCCCCCCCAAGTCAGCCCCTCCCCAGCCCCGGGAACCTACACGACAGGCCCCGGGCCGAGCCATCATCCCCAAAGCCCCGGCCGTACCTGAAAACCGGAGCAGCTGCAAAAACACTAAGGAAGGGAGCCCACTGGCAGACTCTTACAACATGGCTGGAGGAACAGGCTCAAATGCCCCCGTCACTACCCCGGAAGGGGAATTCCCCGAGACTGCCCGAGTCTCAACACCATCAAAAACCCCGCCCCAAACCTACAGATGGTAAGAAACCGGATGCAGGCAGGAAGGGTGATCCAGGGGAAAGACAAAGGGGCGTGTAAGGAACCGAAGCAACCAACACCCCCAAGTCCCAACACGAACCAAAATGGGGCAGCCCTGGGGCTCCCGGGGAGGAACCACGAGAGCGTTGCCACCACCAAGGCTCAAATTGCAACGCCCCTGCTGCCTGCACCCGCTTAGTCAGCACAACTGGGTAACCAAGCCACAACGAGCAACCAAACTCGTAGGACTCCGGGTCGAAGGTGTCACCGGCCCCACAGGCAGCAGACGGAGGCAAACAGTCACCCAGAGACAAAGGGTGAGAGCAACCCTCAAACTCGCTGGAAGCGAGGGGGGGACTCTGGGGTCACATCCATCGGACCCACGCGCCCCCAGGGGTTTCCCAGGGTCCCGAGCGTTTACTATAAGAGGACTCGCGCTCAGGTAATCTCAGGCAGGGTACTGCTAACCGGCACCCAAAGCTACCAAACAACTTTCTAAGAGCTGAACCCCCGGGATGTGTACACTCACGGGCGACCAGGGGTAGCAGGGGGTACCACCAGAAAATACTCAGAACACAAGGGAAAACAAGGGGCAAGAACGAAGGCAGACCCCCCCCACCAGGTAGATAAACAAAAAGAAAAAGAAAACCCCGCAAGAGGACAGCGTACCCAAGCGGAACAGAGCCGGCCACCATGATTGGTAAAGTCAAGCTGCACAGTACCCTGCGCCCCACCAGTGCAAAACTGTTCCTTACTCTAAGGTGAACAAGGGAGACAGAACACCCGAGCACACAAGGAGCGGCCGAAAACCAAGCAGTAAACGGCCTAGCAGGGGCAGGACCCAAGAAACTTGTGGAAGGTGGCCCCAAGCCCCTAGGGCAGTACTTACAGGGCACCTAGGGAAGGGAACCCTAGGCGCATGCAGCCCGAGTACTGGAGAATCACTCCCGGCTCACGCACCACCTAGAAAACAGACACCACACTGTTGTGTACAGTGTACAGTGCTGAAACAACCACTGGAGCTGGAGCACATAACCGGTGCCTATAGCATCAGCCGAAGAACTGATGGGTGGATAGCCGGCGTGGGAGGTCTGGGACTCCCCCTTCCCCCTCCCGGGGAGGGGGGAGCTGCGCAGACAGCGGCGCAGTGACGTGTGACGTCATACTAGTTTGCTTGTTTTCTGTTGAGAAGTTCTATCCACTAGTTCAGCTTTAGGTAGCAATTTTCACCAGAATAGGGGTTTGTTTTGGAATGCTTACCTTTCTGGATGCTTGACCCAGTCGATGGCAGACATAGAATGCTTCCAACCACACAGGGGTTTCTATAGGCCATTGCTCCCCTTGCCTCTCTGAGGGGGCCAGGTTCTGGCCGTGGTCCCCGGTAGGCCCTAGAACTCTATACACATGACTGATGCCAAAGTCTGACATTAGCATATCAGCCTCGTAAAGCTCCAGGGAGCCGACGGGGCTCCCCCCAGAAAATTTTTTTCTAATACCAGTACTGTTAAACTGTGTTCCCTGATCATGGGAAAAAAATAGTGTGCAACTTACTTTGGCAATGATGAAGGCCAGAATCTTCCAATTCACAAGCATTCATGCAGCATGGTGTCCTGTGGCAGTAGCCCAAGGTCCTGTTGTGGGGCAGAAGTAGCTGTAAATGCTATTTTAGATATTAACTCTTGGGCAGTGATGCTAATAATAGCTGATAACACTACAGTTTGCAAGAAAAAAAGATATAAAAAATTTTGTTGTCTTCTATGATTGTTAAAATGTGGTCCTGTTTACATGAAAAGAATCATAGGTGACATATTTTGGCCGTAATAAGGCAAGAAAGTTGGCAAGATTCAGGCACTGACAGAGTACTGTACACACGTCCAGGGCTGGTTCCTGTATCCACTCGAGCTATCATGCAGGAGTTGTCACAAAGATATTATTACCTAATTATTTAAATGTGGCTGATTTTCTCTGTTTTTTTGTGGTAATATTATTCAATAGTGTGTAATGTGGTATATTTTATAATAAAATGTGTGAACATCACTATACAGTGGTACCTCGGAATGCGATTGTCCCTGTATGCGAGGTTTTCGGAAGGCGAGGTGTATTTACTCCAAAAATTTGTCTCGGAAGGCGATGGTTACTTCGGGAGGCGAGTTTGTTGATACACGTACAGCCGACCTAACGCGTTCGTCGCCCCTCCGCCCCTCAGTTTATTATTGTCTCGCGCTCAGTGACTACCCCCACATCAATTCTTCTCGCGGATTTTCAGTGTTTTGTTGGATTTTTGGTGATTTGTCTATACAATTTGTTATTATATATCTCACCATGGGTCCCAAGAAAGCCAGTGGTAAGGATAAAGGCCAGAAAGCTCATGTGAGGATGACAATAGAGGAGAAACAAGAGATCATTCGGAAGCATGAGAACGGTACATGTGTTGTTGAACTTTGTAGGCAGTACAACAAAGCCACATCAACAATATGCACTATACTTAAGAAGAAAAATAAGATTATGGGTGCTAAAGTGGCAAAAGGAGTAAGAACATTAACGGCACAAAGACCACAAATACTTGAAGAAGTGGAAAAGTTGTTATTAATTTGGATACACGACAAGGAGTTGAGGGGTGATAGTGTTTCGGAGGCCATTATTTGTGAGAAAGCCAGGGTGTTGCACGAAGACCTTCTAAAGAATACCCCTGCAACGAGTGATGCAGATAAGAAAGAGTTTAAGGCAAGCAGGGGCTGGTTTGAAAAATTTAGAAAGAGAAGTGGTATCCATAGTGTTACAAGGCATGGGGTTATGTGATGTGATTATGGAAGGGGACTCCCCTTCCAAACAGTAACTCCTCTCCTCCTCCCCCCTCCTCACCATCTTCCATACGCCTACAGCACTCGACAGCAAGGTAAGTAATAACTGGAACACAGTTTTGTAGGTTTATTTAGATGAATTAGGTAAATTAGGTATAAAAATTTAGTTTGATGTGGGGTTTTTGGGGTAGTCAGGAACGGATTAATTCATTTCCCTTTATTTCTTATGGGGAAATTAACTTCGGAATGCGAGTTTTCGGAAGGCGAGGCGTCTCCAGGAACGGATTAAACTCTTATTCTGAGGTATGCCTGTATGAGCTGATAAGTTAGCCAAAGAATCTGCCTTTAAAGGAGATGTTGAGTGAAACCTTGAATTGTCAATGCACAATCTGAGAGCAGTAGTACACCAAGAACTTCAACAAAATCTTGTAGATCTGAGGCAAAGTGAAATCGATACTAGTAATTCTATCTATCATCATACCATCATGCAAGAGGAGCCACACATCTATGGTTCATCCAATAAAATCAGCAGACTTCTAGATGTTACTACTGCTCAGCTTAGACTCGGTTACAAGTATCTCTGGGAATTCTCATTATCTGCTGATGTAGACCTGACCAAATGTAAACTATCACAACAAAATTATTCACACACCCTCTGTCACTATGTGATGGAGTGCGAAAAAATACGTGAATTCTATACTATAACAAATGTTCCAGCAATGCGTAAATATTTCAGTCAAAATGATCTGCTTCCAGAAATTTTAGTCAAATATCCCCAGTTTGCTAACTGTAGATAGTAACCAAGTGATTGTAACCTATCCACCGCTGCCCACTGGATGGGGGGCGGTGTGTAAGACAAACATATCAACTGTGTCATACAGCTAGACTGTGACACTAGCTCTCCACATATGTCAGTTGCTTAATTTAGAAACTGTACTTGTGGTTGATCTCGAACCCATTGATGATGTGATGACTTGTACTGAATTTTGTAACTAGCTCATCAAGATTGTAACTTGCTTAGCTAAATGAATTGTGGGGTTAAGTCCCTGAGCCCATTATGTGCCTCTGTCACCCTTTCCACTACCACCCACAAGATGGGTATGGGGGTGCATAATGAATGAACTAAACTAACTCTTGCTATTAAAAAAAAAAAAGATATTAAGTGAATATATGTTTTAAGTTTACTGTATATACAATTAAAAAAAAAATCAGCTTTTTAACACTCTGAAAAATCTTTAAAGACAACACACACATTTTGGAGCACATGAAGGGTTCTACACCACTGAAATCAAAGACACTAAGGAAAATATCACATATAATTTGTGGTATGGAAAAGTTCCTAATGATGTGGATTGAGTGCCAGAATTGTTGTTGAAATCCTATCAGCCTGATGCTCATACAAAAGAAAGCAAAAGCCTTTTTGATGATTTAAAGATTTTTTTTTTTTTTTTTTTTTTTGAGATATACACAAGAGTTGTTACATTCTTGTACAGCCACTAGTACGCGTAGCGTTTCAGGCAGGTCCCTGGAATACGATCCCCGCCGCGAAGAATCGTTGTTACAACCAAGTACACATTTTACTGTTGCGTTAAACAGAGGCTATAGTTAAGGATTTGTGCCCAGTAAATCCTCCCCGGCCAGGATACGAACCCATGACAAAGCGCTCGCGGAACACCAGGTGAGTGTCTTACCACTACACCACGGGGACTAAATTAGGTGAAACTGTGTGAAAATTTGGTGATAAAACATTTGTGACCAGTCGTGTGTGGTTTAACAGATATAAAGACAGATTTACAACAATAAAAAGGTACGGCAAAATGATTACAATAATTACCTCAAAATCAGTCGCGATAGTCTGAGCTTGGACACCAAAACGAAGATCACAGGCAATGGCTACACAGTTCTTGCCCTTCATGGCAACCACACAGCCACCATTGTAGTTTAATATACTCTGCAAGATAAATTTGAAGATAACTATACAACTTTATATTTTATCATGATAAAATAAATGACATACTACTTTATATTGATAAAACAAATATCAGCAGTAAAAAATGTAAAATAAGATGATAGCTAAAAAGTAATAGTTTATCCACGTGATAAACTTACAAAATGGCTCGTTATCTGGTAGGCCTACAGGATAAAATAAGAACTAAATAACTTTGTATTCCCCCAAATATGCCTGAGCTTAGGCTACATAATCAGATTTACCGGGTAGGTGTGAAATGACAGGAAAACCTTTTTCAAAATGATGAAGTTAATAACTATCCACAACATGAATAAACCAATTCCACACTTGGCTTTGACCACGTGTGTACTTCTAGTTCTAGTGTACAACTTTCATGTCACCCGTAATTCTTTACCTTTCTAGATACAGTAATGTAAATTAAGCTTTGTCAATCTCTCTTCATATGCAAGGTTTCTAATTTGCAGGATTAACTTTGTCATAATATGCTCGATGTGTTCTAGTGAATTTATATCCCTTCTATAATATGGCGATCAAAACTGATCTGAATAATCTAAATGGGGCCTAACAAGAGCAAGATATAGCTGAAGAATACCATCAGGTGTTTTATTACTAACGCTCCGAGAAACAAATCCCAGTATCCTAAATGGCTTATTTCGAGCATTTATAATAATAATAATAATAATAATAATTTTTATTTAGGTAAAGGTACATACATAAAGAGATTTTACAATGTTTGTTGGCTTTATAGATAGAGCTAGTACATACAATGCCTAAAGCCACTATTACGCAAAGCGTTTCGGGCAGGGCATTTATGCACTGATTCTTTGACTTTAAATTCATACTAATCATAACTACCAGATCCCTTTTGCAATTCGACTTCGCACTCTCAAGATCATCTAGCTCGTACAGTATCTTGTAACTCTATTATCATTACTCAGCTTCAAAACCTTACATTTGTCAGATTTACACTGCATCTGCCAATCTTTTGACAATTCAAACTCCTACTTAGATCGTCTTGAAGTGATAGCGAGTCTTCTTTCGTGTTTATTTTATTGATTTTTTATAGCGTGCAACTTTTTAATCAGAAAATGTAATGAGTTGGTGTGCATAAAATATGCAGTGAGGAAAACCCAATACTCAGAAATTTTGTGCTAGCCACTTCCTGCAGTGGCTAGTACAAGCCTGAAAATAATGGCAAAACTGTGTGCAGGCAATGAGTCACAATAACGTGGCTGAAGTATGTTGACCAGACCACACACTAGAAAGTGAAGGGACGACGACGTTTCAGTCCGTCCTGGACCATTCTCAAGTAGATCGACAAAAGAGAACGTTCCAGGATGGACCGAAACATCATCGTCCCTTCACTTTCTAGTGTGTGGTCTAGCCGGCAAAACTGTAATTTATAAACTACCTGGTTTAGATTACAAGCAAGTTAGAAATTAGGCCACATGTCTAAAAAGCCTTGCACACAATAATAATTAAAAATAAATGTACATTCTCATCAGGACAAATGTGGTGACCTTTGATAAGCCCCCGGCTTCCTGTCCTCGTCGAGGACACTAGAGAGATAAGTGGCCCTCAGGTAAACTCTGGTAAATATTCTAAATTTCTAATGGCAGCACAGAGGCCCAGTCCACACCTTTTCTTCTAATTTGCAGACCATTTACAAAAAAAGAATTACAGTAAAGTGGAAGCCCTTTATATAAATCATCTTTTAGTTAAGCTTAACTAAATAAAAATAAACTATGCGCTTTCCATGCCAAAATTTGCAAGTGACATTACAAGACCACTTCTCATGCACAATTTATGCTTCGTTACTAAATGATAATACGTTTCTTGCTTAGCAATGGTTTTCTACTACCCATAGTATCATCTCGTTACCAAATAGACAACTACAGAGACAATTTAGTACCATTATGAAGCGTGAGGCCAGCAGGTCGCACCAAACCGCTCAGTCACCAACAACACAACTCTGGTCTAAATATGGTTTATATTACAGGATTAATACGGCGTTTAAAGTACCACAAATATCTATAATTCTAATTATATCTGCTCCTAATACTTTTATGCAGAGAAATAATATAATTTTACTTACCTTTAAGATTTAATTATAATTGTTATAGCATATCATAACATAACATATATAGATATTAGGAACTGTAAATATAGTCAAATTTTAACCACACCGGGTATGGTGGAGCTTCGACTTTATTACAGTATTGTCGTGACTACATCTACCTTGAAATTGAAATTTAAATTTAAATTGAAATAAGTTTATGGCTACATCTACCTTAACTACCGTTTTTCAACCTTTTCAGTTATAATGGTCCAAATTTTGTTGGCATAGACTAACATAAGATATATTAGACAAGGTTTATTTAGTTTAGGAATTCAGTTTACAGAGCTGATGTATCCAGTCGACAGCGAGAGGCTAATAAGAGATTGCTGCTGCTGTGTTCTGCACATTACTCTTCCGTATATTGTCACTCTGGTTCTGAGCCGATTGATTAATGAAGATTAAGCCACCCGAGAGGTGACACGGGCATACATAGTCCGTAAGGTTCTGAATCTGTTTGTCGTCCGAGATATATATATATATATATGGTTAGTTCTGCCAGGCTGGGGATGAAGGACTACGTTCCATCTATTTATTTCTTTATTTATATATATATATATATATATATATATATATATATATATATATATATATATATATATATGCGAACAAGCCTGAATGGCTTGTTCACTTCTGGGGTGTGAGTTTTCAGTTAATATATATATATATATATATATATATATATATATATATATATATATATATATATATATACAAGAAGGTACATTGGGATTGTGAGGATACATAGCATAGTAATTACATTCTTGTAAAGCCACTAGTACGCGCAGCGTACATTTATTGCAATCTACAATCTACATTTATTGCCATCTACATTTATCTACATATAGGCAATCTACATTTATTGCCTCTGTCCATATTTAGATTAGGGTAAGGTTTTTATTAGGTTAGGTTTGGTTTGGTCCAGTTAATTTAAAACAATTAATTATTCAGGAACGTTCTTAATTATTAAACATGCGCAATAGGAAATTAAAAACCTACTTGAATGTCCCCTACGAATTTGAGATGAAAGAAAACGTACTTTGCAGCCTTTATTTTATGCATAGACATATCTATCTACTTTGGAGAAAGTTCAACACCGGGCGACTAAAATATTTTCCGAACTAAGTCAACTTTCATACCAGGAACGGTTGAGGGCCACAGGGACCAGACATGACAGGGCCGCTCTCAGCAAAACTTTTAAATTATGTTAGGTTATGTTATCAAGGTTAGGCTGCATTGGGCTCGGTTGGATTAAATTGGTTTGATTTGGGTTACGTTAGGTTGGGTTGAGCTAGGTTAGTCAGGTTTCAGAATTCAAAATTGCACTACGCCACGGAGCAGTCTCTGTGGCGTAGTGGTAAAGCACGCGCCCGGTTCTTTATCAGCGCTTTGACCTGGGTTCGTATCCTGGCCGGGAAGGATTGACCGGGCGCCAATCCTTAATACAAATACAAATACAAATTCAGGTAAAATACATACATACAAGGTAAGCTACAAAAGTTGATGGGTTTATAAATGGAGCTAGTAAATACAAAGTACAGCTAGTACTATTACGCAAAGCGTTTCGGGCAGGAAACTGCTTTCTTAACTGCTCACCCAGCAGGGAATAGGTTGTTAAACGATTTGGCGGGTCGTATTCCTGGGAAAACTTTAGGACTAAGGACCTGCCCAAAACTCTATGCATGCTAGCAGCTTTACAAGAATTTAGGAACTCTTTTTTATATATAAATAACAAAAAATAACAAAAAATCGCTGACGAATCTTTTTGTGTGCGATGAGATTTGTATCTGGCATAATTAAAATATTAACTTAAATAATTCGTTTATTACACAATATTTGATATTCAGATCTATAAATTACTTTAGAAAGGATTATAATGCATATAAATATTAATTTACACACTCCTGGCGCTATACGCTACAGGAATTTCAATATGGCGTTCAAATAATTTTAGGCAGGGGGTCTCTGGGTCGGTTGGACGGTTACGGGTCATCGACGCCGACCCGGTCAGTTGTCAGGAAGCAGCGGAGGCGTGAGCATCGTCGCTCCCCTGGAGGTAAGGCTGATCGTATTTTTTTTGTTTGCTAATATATCTGAGCAGTTGGGAGGTCCGCAGGAATATATAGTCTACCTCCACCTACAATGCTTAATGCATTATAATTTGTTCGCTATTATAACATTGAGTTTTTGTAAAGTCTCAGAGAGCTCGTTGTTTACGTATTTTTTTTTCATCCGGGTTCTGTAGTATTCAAACGTTTGAATACTAATTCAAATGCTAAATGCTTTTCCACTAATGCTAAATAGTCAATCCCTCTCAGATATTGTGGCAGATTTTGAGGATCACGATTTGCCAACATTATGAGTAGGATATTATGTAGAATACACTTCCCCAGAGTGTTAAACCACCCCTTCGTCAGGCTAGGCTCGTTAACGCGGCGGTCGTCCCCCCCACCTCCCAAGACGCATTTATTAACGACTTTCATGTACTGTATTAAAAATAGTTTTTATCGCGTATAAATTAATTTTATATTATGTTTAATTAGGCGTATAGTAGGTTCGGTATTTAGGTTCTATTGGCAATTATTTGCACTTGAAGTGTATGGTGGGTGAAGCATTTACAGTTGCCTGTCCTCAGGCCAGGCTCGCCTACGCCGCCGCCCGACCCAAAGCCTCATTTGTTAATTTTTTATTGCATTGCGTATTCAGAATTATTCTCACGTACAAGGTAATATTATTTCATAAAGTTAATAGTTTAAAAACTAAGTTTAGTGACTAGCGACAGTCCAGTCAATACATCTTCAGAAGGACTGTTCCTGAAGATGTATTAATATACGAATGTACTTAATTTAAATTAAGGAAATTCCTGTTTCAATTTTCCTCCGAGGTCTGACACTCCCATTTTTAATCACGTTTTTTTCGTGATTTACACACACACACACACACACACACACACACACACACACACACACACACACACACACACACACACACACACACACACACACACACACACACACACACACACGCACGCACGCACGCACGCACGCACGCACGCACGCACGCACACACACACACACACACACACACACACACACACACACACACACACACACACACACACACACACACACACACACACACACACAGCAGCAACCCTTATACCACCACTTGGGACGACGATTGGAGATTCACTCACCTATTGTGTTAGCAGATTGTGCAAGGTATTGAGGAGCGCCTTTTTGGCTAGATTGTTACTGCAATGACTAGAAGTGGTTCAAGGTCAATCACCAGCAGGGATGAGGAGGAGGACAGATTTATAGACAAATTAATAGGGAAATTTGTAGAGAGAAGGAGTGATTGGTTGGAGGATCTAATCCAGGGGATTAAAAGTGAGGTATTTCAGCAAATACAGGATGCGGTAGAGAGGCAGAAACAAGAACTTATGCTCTATGTTCAGGAAGAGATTAGGAAGGGAAGAGAGGACTGGGAGAGGGAATGTGCTCGTATCACAAACGAATTAGGAAGGTTTAGCAGCAGGGCTAAGGATAGAGGATTAGTGGGAGATGGGTTAGTGACTGCGGTTGGGATGGGGAATCCCCAGGGGACAGGCTACCAGCATGACAATGAATTCCTGAGGAGACGGTCTATTATAATACATGGATTATTCGAATCTAGGGCACCAACAAGACAAGAGAGAATAGAAACAGAAAAATACGAATTGCACGAGATATTGAGGTGTATTGGAGCAGAGATGGCAGAACGCGAGGTGGATATCAATCGACGGGTTGGACCTTACAATTGTACCAAGAAGAGACCTGTTCTGGTGCAATTCTCCAATGAGGAGGCAGTGGAGTACATAATGAGGAGCAAGCACTTACTCAGAGGAAGTGAAACCCATTACAATGTGTTTATAGAGAGGTTTATGACGAAAGATGAGCAAACAGCCCACAAAAATAGATGGCAACAACGACAACGTACTAGCCTCCCAGGTAGTCTCACCTCCCAGGTCACATCCCAGGTCACCTCCCAGGTCACCTCCCAGGTCACCTCCCAGGTCGCATCCTCCCCAACTCAGCCCTCCTATACATCCCCCCTGCCTCAGCCTCCCAAAACCCCCCTGTCCCTTCCACATTTGCACCTCCACAACGATTCCCCTGCCCCTGCTACATCACACTTGTCAGCGACCCCAGTGGGTCAAGCCATGCCCTCCCCAAACCCACCTTCCCATCCCCCCTCCCCAAATACCCCTTCCCACTCCCCTGCCCCTTCTACCCCATTGACTTCAATTCCATCTACTCCATCCCAGCTTCCACTGCACCCCTCTTCCACTCACCCCCAAACCCCACCCAACCCTCACCCCTCCTATGCACCTCCAGCCCACATTTAACCCCCTCACCTTGTGACCCCCTAACACCTTCCCCCATCTCCCTCTTCCCCTCTTCTACCCCAAAACCCCCACCTACCCCCGATTCCCCCCTAACTAATATACCCTCTCTTCCACTCCCAGCACCCATGCTCCATTCTCATCTCACCTCAGTATCCCTCTTCCCCCCAACCTCTCAACCTCTATCTGACTCTCAGTCTCACTCTATTTCTCAACCCCCCTATGCTATTCAGACCCCTAACTTTCAGACCCATTATGCCCTTCCTACCCCCCTAGATGCCCAGACCCCATTCGCCTACCAGGCACTCCCAGGCACCCCCCTAGCACCCCCCCACTCGCCCCCACAGCCCCCACTTGCCCCCCAGACACCCCCCAGTTCCCCCCAGACCCCTGGTGAAAGGGGGAACTCTGACACCCGAGTTTCCAAGAAGAGTCTCAAGGTTTGGTACACCAATGCTGATGGGGTAGCCAATAAAGCAGAAGAGATAAAAGAAA